TAAACATTGCTCGATTTCTCCCAATTCAATGCGTTGTCCATGTAGTTTAATTTGGTGATCTTTTCGACTTTTGTAATGCAGAAGACCATGTCTATCCATTTGCACAAGATCACCTGTCCTATAGAATATATCTTCATCGATGGCGACGATTGCTCTTGCAGTCAAGTCGTGACGTCCCAAATACCCAGCGAAAATACCAGCTCCCCCAATCAACAATTCACCCACTTGCTCGATAATAACATTTTGTGCAAATTCATCAATAATCACGCACTGATAGTTTGGAAGTGGTAGACCAATAGGAACACTACGCTGGTCAGCTATGACATCTACAAGATGAAACGTAGAGGCAATTGTTGTTTCCGCTGGACCATATAAATTCCACACAGAACACTTTGCGATATCAATGTTCATTATTAAATTATTTAATTTTATGGAAAAAGGCTCTCCTAAAACAAACGATGGAATTGCAGAGACGATCAGGACATTAACCTCATTACTACTTACCGATACTGCATAGTGATCGAAGATATCTCAAAGTAAACAAACTATGACAGTTTTGAAGAAAACTGAAAAAACTATGAAGTAGACTGGGTACGGTATGCATATATGTGATTTGTTTTTTGTCGAAAATTTTTGATAAATAGTCAAAGTCAACAGTTCCTCTGGGATGAAGCATAACTAACGTCGTTCCAATCATCAAAGTACCCAACACTTCCTGAACATGGATATCGAACGAACAACGTGCCATTTGGATTATTATATCATTCTGATTGAATGAATTGATGCAGGTCAATGAACGAATGCATTCGCTGAAATTTCTATGTCGAACTTGAACCTAGAGAAAACGAATATTCAAATAAACAAATTACATGCAGAGTATTGTTTGAACAAACCGCTTTCGGCAGTCCAGTTGAGCCACTTGTGAAAATGATGTAAGCTATACTACTTGGCATCACTTCGACACTTGACAATCGGGTAAGACTCCTCTCTTTGACGAAACTATTGGCAGCTAACATCACATCAATATCACACAGACGAGTATTGTCATCGAACTTCGTTTTTGTTAAAGAATGAATGAGAACAAGGCGACTTTGAGTTTGTTGCAAAAGTAACTGCAAACGATGCTGAGGATCTCGAGGCGATAATGGACAGTAGACACCACCCGTCATCACAATGCTCATCATTCCAATCACCTGCAATGATCATTCATGTCACTTCATGTTCACAAGTCATTCTCTTTTTCATTAACTTACCATTGATAGACTTCGTTCAACCAATTGACAAATAATCTCGCCTGATTTCACTTCGTATTCGTTCATTAGATTCAACGATAGCATTTGTACATAGTACAGAAATTCCGAATAGGTTAAAGATTGTTCATCAAGTTCGACGACCAGTTTTTGTGGATATTTTGTCACTTGATGAACAAACTGATGATGAATGCAATATCCTTGTGGAAAGAAGGCTTGTTTATTATTCATGGATTGCATGAGCAGCTTTTCATCCGGTAATGTCAATGATAACTCATATACGGGCTTGTCAACTAGTTCGCTGGCACTCGACCTAAACATGTGTTCTAACATAGAATGAAAGTGTTGTGCCATCTTGTCAACAGTATTTGCATTGAATAAGTCAAGAGATGCATTGAGTATGAATGAGAGTTGATTGGTATTCCGATCATGCTGAGCACTGACGATGAAATCAAACTTGCTCATTATTTCATCTTCACTGATCTTGATCGAGATGGGCAGAAGAGAGAGGTGGCAATCGCCAATCATTATTTCATTCTGGTCATTCTTGTTCGTGGGCATGAACTCGAAGAATACATCGAGAAATCCAGCTTTGGAAACATTGGCATGTTGAGCAAGAATGCGCTGCAGAGGAAAATAGGAATATTCTAAACTACCTGCCAGCACTTCATGAACATTCTTCATCAATCGGTGAAAAGACCAACAAGGATCCAAGTGACATCGAACTGGAATTGTATTTTCGAACAAGCCAATCAATGTTTTCAGCTCACCTCGATATCGATTCTCAACATTCATTCCAACACACAGATCTTTCTCTCTGCCGGTTAACTTGAACAAGAAGACATAATAGATAGTGAGTGCTAGATGTTGCAAGTTAACATTATTGGATGATGCAAAAGTGAGAAGTGCTTGTGAAAGATCTTGTGCAACAGTAAACGAAACAGATGTTCCCCGACCAGTTCGATGTTCATTAGCAAGACGATATCGATCATATGGCAATGATAAAGACTGATCAAGCTTACAATCATGAAGAGCATCCATCCAGAACATATTGGCAGCAGTCATCAGCATTTGTTGTTCAGTGATTGAGTCTAAATAGAAGAGACAAAAAGATGTGTGATCTGACTAGTGGATCGAAAGATTCATGCTTACAATCTATGTAACGGAGAGAAGTGCCATTGTCAACTGCTAGCTGACTGTTTGTGTAAGCGTCGTTGAGATCTTGGAGAAATATGTTCATCGATGAATGATCAAATACAGCATGATGGAAGTTGAAAACAATGCTGTCTCTTCTACGAAGGAGACCATTCGAAGACATTCCTTTGAAATACACAATGTGACATCGAAATACCAGACCTTGTGAGAGATCAAACAGCTGAGAATTGTATTTCTCATCGTATATCACATTGTTTAGTTGTTCAAGAGTGTTGAAAGTGCTTTCAACCAATGTGAACAGTTTTCTGTGTTTATCTTCAGGATCGATGATTGTTTGTATGAACTGATTGATTTCCTCTTTGAAGATAAGTGAGGTTCGAAGTGATTCGTGTTTGAAGAGAACTAACTGGATAGCTTCAGAGAGTTTTTCGACTGATAGAACACTTTCTGAAGAAAGCTGATAAATGAAGGGTAGATTGTGAGTCGGTATGAGAGGTTGACCAAAATGAGAGCGACTTTGTTGATCGAGTAGAATTCGAGTTTGTGCAAATGATGCCGGTGCTAAAATATTGTGAAACTAGTGAATAACTCGAGAAACACTAAAATTAGAGGCGATGATAATTTATTCTTACATAACATGCTTTATCCCTTTGGCTCCCTTTTTTTCTCGAAAACAGAAGTTTCGGAAAGTAATTGTTGTATATGATTTTAATTTTTTTAAAAGCTTTCCCATGCAAACACCAGACTCAGAATAGCTGTGTCGAAGCGCACTTGTCTATCTAATTACGCCTCAGCACATTCAGTTCGAGCAGTATGGATCAATTTTCTCTGTGAAAAATATATCAGCGTGAAGCTAGCATCATGAGGGTAACACCACAAAACTAATAGTTTTCTGAAAATGAATTCCTGTTGACAAAAATGAACCTATTCTATGCAAAATTTGACACTGACTCGAATTCTGATATTTTTATTCGCGAGAAAACGAATGAAAAAATTTGCTCCAAAATTTTCTTTTATGTATGTAGCTATAGAAGAAAAATAAGAACCGAGGTAAGGTGCGTCTGGATCGTTTTCCTGTGAATAAAAATGGCACTGTTAGATGCAGAGTTAAATTCTGCGCCGAACAGATTCTTTTCCATAAAGGGAAATTCATTCAGGACAAAGAAATTGTGCGTGAAAGTGGTGTAATCATGCACATACATGCATAGAACACAAGTAAAGATCAAAGAAAACTTTTTCTCGTCGTTTCCCCCTGAAAATACCACTATTGGACTCAGCGTCAAAGTCTACCTCGATCAATCTATGTCAAGAAAGTGTTCGCACAAAATCTTTTTCCTATTTTTCAGTCACTTAAAAACAATTGATCAGAGTCAAATGTAACCAGAAAAATTCGGCGTGCATTGCTCTTTAAGAATGTGGGACCAGAAAGTTTTATATGAAATTTTGTTATAGTGTGATGAGGAAATTTTTCAAGGATCTCAAAAAATGTTTATACGAAACAGTTGGATTGCGACTTCTAAAAGCAACATTTGTTCTTTTTTGGTCTGCCCCAAAATATTTCAGACGAGTAAAAACTACGAGCCAGAATCAAAATTTTTATGCTCTTTGAATATTCATTGACTCCTTTGGAACAAAAAATAGATATAGAGTCAGTTGCGGCTAATTCCGATCAAAATGACAGTGATTGAAAATGTTTTAATTTGTTCTTCGCTATTAGTTGTGATAGAGAGCGGGTTTTTGCATCGCGACTAGAACAGAACATGCTCCAGTGGCGTAACCAGGATTTTTTGACGACTGGGCAAATTTTGCTTATGGGTAAAAAAAAGTTGGGCAAGACTGGGCAAGATTTTTGTCGCCAGGCTAAAACTTTCTAACTTTATAAGAGTTTAATACATAAAAAACGCGACAATAGAAAATGAATGTTTTTGACTATTTTATCATACAAAGAAGAAAAAAGTTCATTATGTCGTATTGTTTTTTCCATAGGAATGTACTGAAAAAAATCTGAAAGACCATAAAAAAAGAAAAGTATCTAGACGATTAAACTACCTCTACTTTTTTGCTTCACTTTCTCCTGTCTACTTTTCAGGAAAACAATTGAAAAGAATAAACCTATAATTCATATAGGAACAAACGATTCTTAACTGTCTTTCTAAAAAAAAAGCTTGAAG